ATCCTGAGATTGGCAATCTCCTTGGAAAAACCAACAGAAAAGAGGAGAAGAGAGAGAGAGGCAGCACTCCTCATCCTGAAGTCAAGGCCCATAGCGCCTGTCAGTACCAGTTGAGCTGCTGCATCTTTTATGAGGAAAGCCCTGTTGCTTATTACAATATTTACAGACGTTTAAAGATTGCGATGCGAGTGTTGTTACTGCATTAGCTTGGCTCGGTGGCCTTCGCTCACTAGCCCTGACGGAAGATTTTATTCCAGATTTGTTAAATCGAATTACTGCACAAAACTGCAAGGAGACCGATAACTGTTTCTCCTGCCACTCAGTGTCCACATACGCAGGTGGAAGACAATTCATTTCTTCCTAAAACCTTTATGAAATTGTTTCATTTCTTTAGCAACTTCACATTGGTCATGTGGGCAAAAATCCCTTTGCTACACTGATGTCTATTTAATGAATAATATAACAGTGTGTTTATGTATGTATTATCCATGTCACTTCCATAGCTCTGTTTATGGTGTGCAAGTGAATTTAGTCCATCTGTTTCCTCAGGGGGGATGCTGTCCTACAGCAGTGCCGTGATCTTTGACACTTCCCATAAGGAACACGCAACATGGAGACGTGTAGATGCACTCACCCTTCATCATATCAAAGAGGAGAGAGAGGACCAAACAAGCCAGAGCTCACTTTAATCAATGCTAATGCCTTTCAGGTTTAATTATATATAGGAAAACTTCGGTCTCATGGTAATACCATGTCATTTTGGTTTGATGCATATGCTGCATTTCAACCCTTTCTATTTCCTTCCTTGTCTCCTTTTTATTGGGAGGACAACCCACAGAGGAATGCTATCCATCAGTCTGACTCAGAGGGAGAAAAAAAAATAAAAACTTGAATAAATATTTCATTAGATTATTCTGTGATTTACTGTGCTTCTGCTTGGCTGAGGTCTACGGCAATATCTCTGGTCCATTTATAAAGGCATTAACACAATGATACCCGACACTAGCTTAATATTGATACTGGGCTGCCTTTTGCTGGCAGATTGGAGCAGCGTAGGGATTGTTTTGTCTGTGTGTGCTGAATCACACCTGCAGAAAAAAAAAAAATCTTTTCTTCCTTTCTCCATCTGTCTCCTTTGAGTGCATGTTACTTAACTGCATGAGGGAAGATTAGTCAATCTCAACCAAACTCTTAGGATGTAATGTGTCTTGACAATTAGAGAAATTCAACAAAACTCTACCCTGAAAAAGATTCAGAATTGCTCTGAGGGCACATTCAGTTTTTCGAAGGAGAGCTGCCAATTTGACAGAAAAAAAAAAAATCAGAAAAACAGCAATCTAAACACATAAAAAAAAAAAAAATAAGACTAGCAGACATGTAGACATGCATGTGCATACACATTTAAGTGTGGTGTTCTGCATGTGCTATAAGTGGAAGCTAATTAGAGCCAAGGGGAGAAGTTTTCACAGTCTGTGATAAATTCAACATCAGGAAATCCTCTACCTATTAATACCAATTGGGCGACAATAATTGGCAGGCCATCGACAGCGTGGGCAGAATTAATCATTTGAAGAGGCAGACTAGACTGAATTTTTAATTGGCAGAGGCAGCCACTGTTTAGGGAGGCAACCAGCTGATCACCCAAGAGACTGCTGCTTCAGACAATGCACATTTGCTAATCCTCTTGAGTCAAGTTATTATGGCCATGCATTATTATCACGCTTTACAAACTAATTCCATGTTTTCCCTCATGGATTACCAAGGGAGAAAAAACAGTTGCATAACAAAAGAGGAAATAATAAACACACAAAGCACAATGTGGATGAAATGAAAATCAAAATGACAGAATAAGTGCAATGACTACAAATGCACAACACTTAGTATGATGAAAATAGCGCGTGTGTGTGTGTGTGTGTGTGTGTGTGTGTGTGTGTGTGTGTGTTTATCCCTCTGCCCATCACTGTATTTGTCAGTCTGAATGTGCTTGTTTGAGGGTGCTGTTCTACTGTTTCCATCGGGATCCATATTCATAATCCTTTCTGCTTAATAACACGATTAACTATAAAATAACCTCATCAGAGATCATTGACATATTAGGGTTTGATTATGTATTGTTAATTGTGTGGTCAGAATTCATTACATTCTAAGCCATTTAATTTCACTTACTTATCTAAAATGAATTAGTTGTTTGTAAAAATTCACTTTGAGAAGTGCATTCAGAATGAACTTTTTTTATTATATTTACTTATACTTTAGAGAGATGATCTCATACCTACATTAATGTTTTTTATTTTTGCTTTATTTATTTATTTATTTATTTATCAAACCGAGTGAATGGTAACACAACTTATGATTGATATACAACGCATATACATGTTCACCGTATGGATTTTTTTCTATTTTATACACTAAAAAAAGGGATTTCACTTTGTTACAAGTCATGTTTTGCAAAACAAATTTCAAACTGATAAGTAACCTGAGGAGGAAATCATACAGACTTTCACTGAATTCAGTCAGTACATTTTTTTTTTTAGCACTTTTACTTTAACACCAGGGCAACACTGATGTGACAAACCAATGATAGTTATTATAGTAATACAAAAAAATCTCACCTAGACCTATGTAAAATGTAAAAACAGCCGAGCAAATAACTACCACTAATAATAAACTCCAGATTGTATATCATAGCTGCAATTAAACCTGAATAAAATGCAGATCCATCAAAGCTCTATTGTCTCTCTGTGGGAATTACATCTAAGAGCCTAAATTCTCTTTGCCCTGACACCGTGATGAAGCGACAATCACTCAAGAGCTAAATACTGCAATCATTATGCAACATAGGGCAATGACATTTTAGTGTATGTATGCACACACATGCACACGCCAGCACATACCGATGAATGCCAAATGAGTGCTATACTGAAAAGCTGTCTTCCTATCTACAAGCTGACAATATCAACTTTAAGATCAGACAGGAGCGGTTGCCATCCAGGCATGTGGCTTCATGAAATATGTGGCATAATCTAATGCTCACTATATCTGATATGAAACCGTCATTAACATTTTGTGATCCAAACATCACGATAGACTGCAGGAAAATTTTTTAGCTCTTCGGCTAATTTCAGCATGGACATGCACAAAAAAAATTAAAGAAAACATATCTTCATATATTTGGACATTTGTCTTACTCATTTATGTCACTTAAATTATATTAATTATAATCTTACTCTAGTTTGTTGGTCTGTTTGGTTGTTGAAATACTGCGTCCTCTGTCATTTGGGAAGGACAATAGCCTACACAGGCTTTATTACAGTTGTGTGTAATGGCAACAAATTTCATATCTTCTGATGGTGATTCTATATGTCACAGAAGACATGACATTGTTTGCAATGTTTGCAAATGGCATTTACATTACTGTCACAGATTGTTATTTGTCTTTTCTAAATGTCACTGCAATAAAAAGGGTTATCTCCTGTACTAACATCCTTCACATATCAACATGAGCTCTGCAGGAGTGCAAGATGAAGAATCCAAAATGGCATTCAGAGAGAGCAGCACTGTGACAAAATGACAGTCGTGGTTATGTCTCTGGTCTGTAACATCTGTGGGGCAGTTTTAGAACCACACATTAAACCATAAATGTTACGCAAAAGAATGAAGCATGTCACAACTCTTGTTCGGACTGTTTTTTGTTTTTTTTTCTCCCTTTGAATCATGGATATGGTGTTGCAAACAATATCAACAGTCCATTGGTCCATTGGCCCAGTATGTTAAAACTATGATTACGATGAAACCAATAATTATGATAGCTACTAGTGACAGTCTATATTATCATGGAGGTCTCCTAATGTCACTGTCATTATTCTAACCAACATACAGCAACATACAAATGAAACGTAATCAACAAAATTAAAGTTGGTTGCAAGTGTTGTGGTGATGAATGATGAATGATGATGATGATGATGATGATGATGATGATGATGATGATGACGTCTACACTGCTAGGATCGACTGTAAGGGGGGGGTGGGTGTGTGTGGGGGGGGGGACACGTATTGTGAAATGGTTTTTCCCACCCGGGCTGTGAGATCTGTACCCCGTATATCCTTGATAACCAACTTCATTATGGAAGGTGGAAGTTGTCAGTGTATATAGTGAGCCGGGTGGATTTACACCCTCTCTGCCTCCCTCTGTCTTCCATTTCAGCAGAAGCAGCGCAGCATCACTGCCCACTCTCCGCGGCGACGTCCGTCATCTTGTGACAGTTCTTGCGCCCTTTGGAGACACTGTGGTACTGAACTGATTTCGCTGTGTCGGGTTTGCACCCAGCCCGGCTCCATGGGAGATGTTAAAGAAAGCATATGGATGAATAAATGATGCCGTCCCTCCGCAAGAGATGGGACTGGCAAGGGAAGGCTCTTTAAAAATGCATCCTCTCCGAGCGCCTCTGCCCCACTTAGGAGCGCGTTAAGAAAATACTCCTCAATTGCAATAAAAAAAATAAAAAAAAAAACAACAGACAACACAGTCCCCCCCACCCCCAACCACCACCACCACCACCACCATTCGTCATACGAAATGGACTCATGACATTTGTAAATCTCCCATTTTGATTGCCCGTGTAATCGAAAAAAAGTGGATTTGTCAAGATGGAAATACAAAGGCTCAGGAAAATATTCAGCCGTCTTAACATGTCAGAACTTAAAATAACAAACCGAACAACCAGAATTGGGTCAAAATGCCAAACCTCATGAATGTTAGATGGCAATATATAAGCAATGATGCACATGATGACACTGATGAATATTTTTGGAATAGCTAATAGACTGATAGCCTATCATTTCTGGATTAAGCATGATAACATGTTTTTTTAAAAAGTGACAAATATCCGCATTTTCCGTGGCACTATTTTAACACAAATCCGCTCAAGAGGCACAGGTAATAATAAGCAATTATTAAGCTGTATATGGGCCTCGCAGCCGTTTGAGGGGCGACACGTTACCTTTGTGCATGCCGGTGTATCGGTCCTTGAGAACTGTCAGTTCGTGGATTTTCCCAAACTGTTCAAACAGGGGTTTCAGGTCTTTTTCTTCCAAGTTCCGCGGTATCTGCCCGATAAACAGCTTAATGGCATCTTGGTCTTTCATGTTGCCGCTCTCCGGATGAATTGAAATGGGTTCTGACCCGTTCATGGGTTTCGGAAATGTGATCTGAGGGTACTGGTGCTGATGTGGGATAAGTAGTAGTGGTTGTTGGGTCGGCGGTGCCCCCGGTCCGGTGAAAACCAGGCTGGAGTGAGCGGGCTGGGGCTGCTGTGGATGGTGCTGCCTTCTTGTTTCAGTCTGAGTGAATCTGGCCATTCTGAGCTGGGAGCAGAGTGGATAATAATGACAACACACACACACACACTGTGAGAGAGCAAGCACTCAGCTGGAAACCAGGCTGACTTTCTATCCGACACACAACACACACGCACACACAGCACAAGGCAGAGAGGGGGGGTGATAGAGGCGGAATGAAGGCACAGGAGCGATATTAGACACTCTGCAGTGCCACCCAGTGTCACTTATGAAATACTTCAACTTAGGCAGACAATAAGTTGGCAAGTGTTGACTGACATATGTGCTCTGGCCAGCTTTTAGAGCAGGACTGAGCATCTTTGTAAAATACATTTCTTTATGGACCTTTTTTTTCTCATCATACGTTGGACTTGTTATAGCAGGAAAAGTGCAGGTGTCAGTAACAACACTAGCAACGGCTCTTTCCTTTTTCAGCGTCCAAGTGAGTCATGACAGCCATCATTCATTTTGTTATTTACACCTGTGTTTTTGCTACAGTGGCATGTCAAAATGAATGTCTTCCCTGAAAATGCCAACTGCAAGTAAAAGCATTTCATTTCAAATTTTACTTAAATTAAAGTGAATAAGAATTGGCAGTAAGTCCCACTGCACTGTTTCAAACCCCTGATGTTTAAATTGTGACAATAGTATTTCAGTGTAGGTCACATGGGCTGTGCTGAGTCTGACTTGTGCAGTAAGTATAAGTAAAGTAAAATCTAAAAAGTTACTAAAGTGGTTGGATAAAATTAAACTGACAAGAGCAGAAATATTGTAGATAAATGAAACATTTATCTACAATAACATTGAAATGTGGTGGAGAAAAGTAGGCTGTAATGTCACAACGTTTAAAATGCCAAAAAAAACAAAAAACCACAATACGCGGCGCCTACTGTAATTATGCTTTAACACAGCATGAGATCTCAACACTACCTGAATCGAGTGGTCAATCAAGTTTTTTTAGTACAATATCCCCTCTTTGTGTTACAATACTTCTGATGCAGCTCAGCAGAAACATCAAAGCCTCTGAATCCTAGTACTAGGTTCTGAATCTTATATTGTAATTTTTGTACAGAATGAAGGCTGTGGTTTGTTTTTCTTATTTTTTTGTGATTGCAATAATCAGTAACTCAGTTCCTTCAGTACTTTCCCTGAATTGTATTATCTCTACAGGCGTGTGAGCATTGTACTAAGATAGTGTTGAAAATTATCCTTCAATAGCCACTTTTCAGAAAATTAAATCTCAATTAGAGAGGAAAAGATCTTATACATCAAGACTTACTTTGTCTATATGATAGAAAAGAGGCTCATTCCACACAGTTTCTCACCTCTCCTTTAGCTATTTTTGAAAGGACAGTAATCAATACAGGGTCTTTGCTGCTCCCCCTTCTGGAATTGGACAATATATATATAAATATATATATATTACTTTTTTCTTTTTTTTTGCTCTGACCGAGACCGAGAGATTTGTTGGAAAGAGGGAACGCATTCAAAAGTTTTCAAGAATACAATAAAATAATGTTTAAATGTCTTTCCTTATCTTTAAGGCCAATATTGACTACTGCTTATGATATTGCATTTCAGACACTGAAAAAATGAAAATTGCTTTGTCATTTAAGATACATATCTACAATTTTGAATTATAAAATACATGCTCATTGTGGTGAAATGTACATCACTATTAAAAGTATAAATAGAAGCCGGCATGTGCCTCTCCTACATTAAATGATAGAAGGTAAAAGAAACTTGGTGATCATGTTTTACAGTAGATGCGCCTCGTCACAAGTGCCCTATTTATAAGGCAGGTGGTATTGAAATCAGCAGTTGTTCATTAGGTTGAGTCAAGGGAGCAGTAAATATTAACCACAATTAGGAGACTTACTGTAAGTAATTTTCAAATAGCAAGGAGGCTAATCCCCCAAGAGAGAGTTTATTTGTATCATTTGTCTTCTCAGTACTCAGACCCAAATCCATCATCTAAATAAAATACTGAATTGAGAACACTGACAACAACAGTTCAACAGGCAGTGCAGCCACAACCCACCCTTTAGCTAAAACACATCTACTGGACAGATTTCTAATTGCAGCCTATTTAACAGTGGATTAAATAAAGTGATATACTGTCTGTGACAGCAGGCTCAAGGCTGCAAGGTGAATCAATACCGCTTCTGCTTCTCCTACTGTGGAGAGGCGGCACCGCGGGGGTCCCCTCCCAGAACTTCGACTTCCGTATGGCTACGTGGCCGTGCGAGAGACTCGGCCTCTGCTGCCTCTGCTGCTCTGGATTCAGCAGTAAACCTGTAAAGCTAGGAAAGGCTCACATCCAAAGGGCAATGGTTTGCAGTGAAAACAGATTGGTCAACAAAGTTCAGCGTTGAGAAGTTGTCCAGAGCAGATGGTTGTTTTCTTTGGAAGGAAAGTGGGGATAATTTCAGCTCTATTGAACTGTGCTCATAATATTTCTTTCTGCAAAGTTCAATAAGTGCAAGTGTAGAGGGAAAGACATGAGCTGGCAGGGGTACACATTGACATTACCGGTCAATAAAACAGTGGGTGGTAGCTACACAGACACAGGAATTTTTTATTGTAAACTTGTTCTTTTGAAATGTGAATGTAATTCTGTGAAGCCGTGGGTCCCAGAGTGCAGAGTAAGATACAGCTGCTGAAACTGCTGTTTGATTTCGATTTGCGCGCCCAAGTCACAGTGTTATTTTATGCCCAGTTCATCGTGTTCTAAATTTATTGATTAAAAGAGGCAGGGTACTCACTGAATGTGGCTGGCTATCTGAATGGGAGTTGGCAGGGACAGGGGTCGAAGTAGATGTGTTTGGCGGATGGCTCAGCATGTTAGCCTGCTTACATCTGCAGTGAGGAAACAAACAGTGCAGCTCATATTGAATAAGAGCACTGAGCTGTCGTGGCACTGGCTCACCCGCCTCTGAGGGGGGTTGAGAGGCTATTTTTAGGGATGTGGTCAACACAGGGGGAGGGGTATTGAGAACTTCCACTTCATGGTTCTTTATTGACCAATGCCATTAATGTTTTGCCAAGCTGAAGACAGAGACAAGAAATCAATAAAGGTCACACTATTAGTGCGAACTAAAAAGTTACATACAATTTAACTGGCTGGCGTTTATTCTGCTGCTTGTTAACCAGTCTGGACCCTGAGAGGGAGGCAGCCTGGCTCGATCTGTTCAGCTTGGGAAGTCTGGAGGGGCCCAGAGGGAGACAGAGACAGCTAAGGGAGTCATTTTGCATTCTGTGTGCACTTGGAGCCATACAGTCAAGACAGTCCGACAGACACACTCTCTCACACACACACACACACACACACTTCCTAATTACTCAAATTCAACATTATCCTCCACATCCAGTACCTCACTTGCATATTGTGCAAACACAGTGATGCTCATAGGCAGAAAAAGCATACACACAGTTTAACTTGCCATATGCCGTCTAGTTATGAGCTGAAGCCAATGAGGAACTTGACAAAACAAAAACATTAAGGGAAAGCTTCTTCTCTGCTTGGGCTGGCATGGTGAAGTTCTGAAAGTGTGGTCGTGGTTTAATAAGCGGTGAGAGTTGGAGGTGTCCCCTGGTGCCTGATTCACCATTGCACTCTGGTTATGCATTGCAAAGCATGCTTGTTCGACTGTAAGGTGTTGTTCAAGAAAATTAGGGTGTGATGTGGTGATGGCATATCACTCTGGAGACACTTTTATGGACCAGTGACTTAACAGGCTGATGAGATGTGATAAGAGTAAGCTGAACTGTGGCGTCAGTGTGCCACAGTTCACCTTTCTCGCACCTTTCCCTCCAGGCCTCCAGGTTCCTGGTCTAAAAGTAGAGTGGAACCGTTTGATATTGATCAGAGCTTTTCCAATTAAAAACAGTCCAGCATGTTGGTCCTGTTGCAGCCATTGAAAGTATAGGCTCTGTTGAATATGATTAAGAAAGTAAACTAAACTTGCACTTAAATAACTGAAACAGTGATTGTCCAGCGTTATTGCTGAGCCTAAAATATACAAGTCCTATTCCATCCCATCAGTTTGAATTTATTCTAATGAAACCTCAGATCATGAGCTGTCAAAACAGGAAAGAGCAGCACCCAGAAATGACTGCAGGTCCTATAAATTCTCTGTTCCTATCTGTGAGGTGTAAATAATCAAAAGACAGAGATGAATTCAAAAGCACACAGACTATACAAACATTTGTACAACTCAATGTCACGCCTTTAATTCCAATAAGGAAGGAGCGTGAATGCAGTCATTAGTGGAAAGGGGGCAGAGAACTGGCTCTTGCAATTGGGCTCACTGTAACTAGCTGTGTTAATAATTGTACACTAAACTATGATTACAACTTTGCTTCGCCCACAATTCACTAACAAAATATTGTTTATGAAAATATCAGACTTGAACTGCACCGGGGGGATTTTTATTTTTTATTTGGATTTACCCAAATATAGTGTAACATTTCTGATAATCTTTTAGCATTAGATTTAAATGTTTGAATGTTTCTCAAATTAAATAAATATCCCAGCCTATTTTAAATATCATTTGATTCTGGTTTGATTCTGGCTACAGCTCCACACAAATCCAAATCCTGTACGTGCCTTCCTCCTACTGAACAGTTTGTTCCCGGTCCACAGAGGGGTGTGAAGCAGACTATCATCTCTTGCACCAGGTCTCTCGCAGTGCGTTATATGACTTGCATGATAAGAGAAGGGCAGGGGTCATTGGAAAAGATGAAACAAAATGACATTTTGAGGATTAATTTTATCATCCAAAAACCTGCAACTAAAATAACCCTATTATCCACTGTGGTTGTTGCAGCTTTGTTGTACAAGAGAGAAATGGTCAGCCTGCAGAGCAATCTTGTTTTTTTTTTGTGACTGCTGTGATCTGAGAAGCCTCTACAAGTGCTTCAATTTCAAGATTGTCTACACTGCTGCTGTTTTAGTATTATTACAATTATCTCCAGAAAAACATCATCATATCAACAGACTGCATGGTGTTCAAACTCCT